CATTTGACCCAGCTATTCCCCTGCTGGGTATCTTTCCCAAAGAATTAAAAGAATCATACCACAGTGATATATGTGCACCCATGTTCATAGCAGCACAATTTCTAATAGCTAAAACTTGGAAGCAGCCCCATTGCCAATTAACTTGAGATTGGATGAAGAAAATGTGTTTTTTATAAAATGGAGTACTACTCAGCCATAAAGAATGAGAAATTAGGGCTGGGGATTTAGCTCAGTGGTTTTGCCGCCTGCTGTGCAAGTACAAGGACCTGAGTTCAATCCCCGGTACCAAAAAACAAAAACAAAAACAAAAACAAAGAATGAGAAATTAAGAGACATTTATAGCTAACTGGATGCACATTGAGGCGATACTCTTAAGTGCAATAAATAGGGCACACGTGTAAATGCTGAATAGTTTCTCTAGGGTGAGAAACTGAAAGTGTAAATAAGGACTAAAAGGTATAATAGATCATATGAAACAGGAAGAAAAGGGGAAAAGGGGAAGGAAGTGGGAGGGGTGGGAGAAAGGAAATAAGGGAATGGAATTAATATGAGAAAATGAAAAAATGGAAACAAAGTCTCTGTATATAGGGAGGAATGCAAAGTTAACCTGGCTAGTTTATCAAACTTGCACTAAACACACACACACACGCACACACAGAGTAAAAATAATTTACAATTTGTGTCCTAATGACCAAAAGACTTTTTTGCGGGGTGGGGGGCAGGTACCCGAGATCAAACTCGGGACCTTGCGCTTTCGAGGCAGGCAGGGGAATCACTGAGCTAAATTAAATCCCTGGCCCTTTTTTTTAGTTTTTTGAGACAAGGTCTGCTATTAAATAAGGCTGGTCTTGAATTCACTATGTAGCCCAGGCTGGCCTTGAACTCAATGATCCTCCAGCCTCAGCCTCTCCAGTGCTGGGATTACAGGTGTGTGCCACTATGCCCGGCCTCATTTTTTTTATATATTTTGAGACAAGGTCTCACTATGCCCAGGCTGGGTTCAAACTTGTGATCCTCTTGCCTTAGCTTCCTGAGTACTGGGATTATAGAAGCATCCTATGATGCCACCTCAAGAGCAGTTCAAGGCTTTAAACTATAATTTTTGAAAACTAATAAAAAAAACAACAACAGTTATCTAGTATCATTTTATGGATAGCTAGAAGCAGAAATCCAGAGCCAGGGGACTCATAAAAGTAGCTGATATTTAAATAAGATGACAGCTCTCTCAAATCAACAAGCCAAAGTGATCTCCCCACTGTCGAGGCAGAGGGCTGCTACATTTAATGGAAAACTCAAGGACTCAGGAGCCTGAAGGATAAACTCAATGGATAGTAGGTTTGGAGAGCTGGCATTTGAACAGGGGCCCTGAATGTCTTCCTCTAAAACTGTGTGGAGTCAGGAGTCTGTGATTAGGTAACAATTTCTCATGCAGGTGATGATGATCAGAAATCACTAACAGCCACTACTTTAGCAGGGTCCCAACTCTCAGAGTTTTGTCTTCCCAGTCCCTCCTATACCTCTGTGCTGCCAAAGAGCCAGTTATAATCAGTACGATGTACAGGAAGAGTCGAGATGGACTTTGGAGGGCTGTCTTTTCCCTTCTGATGGCACAGAATCCAAACATGAGGACTGGAGATTAACCAGCTATCTGGAGCTAGGAGGTGATTCAGTAAGAACAGAGGGTCAAGCCGGGCACAGTGTCACATGCCTGTAACCCCAGCCACTTGGGAGGCTAAGGCAGGAGGATTGCACCTTCAAGGCCGGCGTGGGCTATGTAATAAGTTCAAGGCAATTCTGGACTACATAGAGACCCCATCTTAAACAAAACAAGCAAGTATATAAAAAAGAATTTTAAAAAATGAGCAGGGCAGAAGCATCGAGAAAGCCTAGGCCTACAGAACTGTAGTCAGGTGTATAGTGCAGTGTCTGGCACTGGGGAAAGGGGACTGGAAAGTGCATTTCAACATCACCAAAGGGAGCAGATATTAATACTCACAGTGGCCAACTCCCATGGCTCCGTAGTGATTGGACACGGCAATGAGGTCGTACATATAAGGCCTGGCTGATGGGTCACAGACAAACTCGGACATGTTCAGAGCTCTGAGCAACACAAGAAAAACTCTTGATATGTTAAAATCAGATAAGTAAGAGTAACCAGCAACTTCTTTCAACCAACAGGGACTGACAAAGGGAAGCACTCAAAAAACTATTTAGTTGGGCCAGGGATTTAGCTCAGTGGTTCTGCCGCCTGCCTTGCAAGCGCAAGGTCCCAAGTTCGATCCCTGGTACCAAAAAAAAAAAAACAAAAAACTAGTTGATGCCTGCCTCGCAAGTGCAAGGTCCTGAGTTCGATCCCCAGTACCAAAAAAACTATTTAGGAAAAAAA